CGCTGGCTGACCTGCCGCTTGCGGGTGGACCTGCGGGGGCCGCCTCCCTGCCCGAGTGTGCCGCTGGTGTCCTGTGAGTCCTCCAGCTGGGAGGGGGAGGGCATGTTGTGCCCGGCGGGCGGGGGTGGACGAGGGGGGAGCACCATCGACGGCACACCGTCGCGCGAGTAGTAAGCCATGTAGGCCTACAGCCAGCCAGCCATGGGATTGAAACACACAGACAGACAGACAAGGTGGGAGGATGTTGTGTGTGTGAGTATGTCGGTGGGATGGGTGGGGGTTTGAGTGGGTGCCTTGCCCACCTGCTGTGAGAGGACAAACTCGTCAGTGAATTCGGCCACGGGCTTGGAGTCGTCATACAAACACCATCGACGGGGCCGGTCGGAGTCATCATCGTCTTGCACGAGAGGCTGCATTAGCCTGGGGCCCTGGGGCTGCGCATGGATAAGGGGCGAGCGGGCCCAACGACCCGCCACATTTTCTTTCGTTCGTCCTCGAGCTGCCAATTTGCATGATGAAATTGCATCTGCCGGGACGAAACGGCACCCGAGGGAGGCAGTGGGGAAAGCAATGAGTACGATCCTGTCTCCGCATTCCACTTTCTGTAAATGTCGAGAATCAGAGACGGCGAAAACAGATTCTGCCATCAACACAGATTCTGGTTAACCAGCGCTGGAAAAATGAGGTTCCGCAGGGAAGCTGACCGCCCATACGGCATGAAGAAGCAGCCCCAGGCCACCATGTCGTCCACAGGCCGAAAGGCCCGATGCCGGTCAGCCGCGCCATCGCCGTCGCTCCGTCACCCTCCACCGACCCCAGCCAAGGGCAGGGCATCGACGCTCACAGTGGCCTCGAACAGCCCCAACTTTGCCACGCCGACAGCGTACGACGAGCAGTGGACACAAAGGGTGAGCGACCTGGAGGGTATCCCTCGTCTCTCGGGGCATTGTGCACTCCTATATGGTATGTGCTGTTGTGGCTGTATGCGTGGCTTGCAGTGGCCGCGGGACGCGGTCTTCTGCAACATTGACCAGAGCTGCTGGCTCTCATCAGATCAGTGCTGCAGA